AGTCTAGTTCAGAACGCCTTGATCAGTTTTTCTAGAGAAGGATACGTCCCTCTAGGCAATTGACTCAAGAGGGCCTTGTTCCTTTAGTCGAGACTCAAGGTCTAGTCAAGGATTCTCCGCATTGTGAATGAAAGTGAAACAGGTTAGAGATCATCAATCATTAATCTGGCTAGTGGCTAGGGGGAATCATACCTAAGTGAGTTCCCAACCTGTAATTAGATTAACTTTAACTGTAGTTTGCTAGAGTAGTTTTAGTTCTTTCATCTTAATCTGATTTGCTAAATAATAAACTGAAGCTGAGTAATAGTAACTCTAGAGACCCGTGGATTCGATATTTATCACTTGAGCCACTATACTGCAGTCCCTTTCATTGGTTACACTTGGCCTTTGTTAGGTGTTGTGTTTTAGAGCATCAAGTTTTTGGCGCCGTTGCCGGGGACTTTCTAGAGTATTAGGAAAGGCAGAAGTTTGTTACTTTAGCGTTTTTCTTTTCTTTTCCACCCTTGCTTTTCACTTGGGTGTTTTTGTTATTGTTGGTGCAGATCTGAATCATGGATCCTAATGGCTTCTCCAATCATTGGGGGTATCCACCACCACCTGAGTGGTATTACCCCGAGACTCCCTGGAGCAATCAAGGAAGAGAAGACTATGGATTCGGGTTCCAGTACCAACCCCCTTACTACGGAGAACAACCGGATCCCTGGGCATATCAAGAACAATCTCATTACCAAGAAGAATTTTTCCCACAACTAGAGGGGCCATTGGAGCTGGAGTTACCCATGGCGGCCTTCACGGGCCATTCTGCAGAGCCATGCTACACTCCACAGCCAGATCCACTACAAGGACATTGTGGAGCACACTGAAGTTGTCACGGAGAGCTCCCGTGATGATCATGATCAGGAGTGTCCTGTCGTAGCCGACCACACCTTCCCACACCCCAAACTGCGCTTTGAAGAGGCGGGCATGAGTGAGGAGTTGCAAGAAGATCTCATGAAAGAAATTGCTTGGCAACTTGCTCTCCAATCCGTGCTAGAAGAAGAAGAGCAACAAAGGGTGCAGAAAGAAGTTGTGGAGGATGACGAAAGTGAAGCAGGAGGAGTTCTTGATCATTTCCCAGGGGTGATACCACATGAAGAAGAAAGGGGGGTTGAAGAAGCAATTGGCGTCCAGGCTGAGGACGGAGTTAAGGTGGAAGAGGCCTGCACTGGCCATGAGTTACATGTGATATCTCCACCAAACTTCGAGGAACTGCTTAGCAAGGACCCATTTGCAGTGTCTCTTTGCCAGACCAAGGCCACCTCGACATCGGTCCCTCTTGGTGGACGCGATGGTGGCCAATCGATGCTGTCATATCTGGTTTGGGGCAATGAGACGAGAGAAGAGAAGGAGAGGTCTCGAGGGTGGAGACTTCATCTGCATCAAGTACATGAGCCTTCATCACCTGCCACACCACATGCTCGTGACTTGAGACTCCACCTCATCGACGAGAACCTCAACTTCAAGGAGGTTCTAGCATGGACCGAAACTTAGGAGCCATCGTCCGGCTCACGACGTGAAAGAAGCGCTTGTTGGGAGGCAACCCAACCAGTCGGTTTGCATTTCTGTCTCTATTTCTCCTCGGTTGAGTCAGTTTTGCTATTTGATTTTAGAGTCAATAACTCAACCTTTGTGAGATTTTGTGTGGTGTTTGTGTTCTGATTACTCTCTCTTTCTGGATGGCACCGCCTGACCCGTTCATTATCATTCACCCTTGATCTGGTAACTTCGTTCTACCCTCCTTATCTTTCCTCCATTGAGGACAATGTCGTGCTTAAGTGTGGGGGGATGTTCGATTATGTATGCGGGTGAATGTTTGGCTGTTTGTGTGCTTGGAGCCTAGTCCACTGTCCAAATTTTTAAATTTGAGGGCTCCAAGTACGTGTTCCTTGCAATTGCCTGCTCAGTATGCTTTGAATTGACAATCTTTATAGTAATATGCAACCTAGGGAGGTAGTGTAGCACTATGGAGGATGTTGATGCATTTAAGAAGTCTCATTTCTTCTTCATATTGAGTTGGTTGATTGAGTGAATTAGTGATCTTAGGACCCTTGAATTGTGTGGTGTTGTGGATTCTCTACCTGTCATGGACTCTTGTATCATGTTTTAAGTTTAACAGGTGCTCGAAAATGTGCTTCAAAATAACGTCTCCCGTGCGAATAGGGCGAAAGTGTGTAAGGGGAGACGGGAATCCGTTCCCAATTTCCACCTACTACCTCCAGCCCCCTTACATGTCTTTCCCCGCACGAGGCTCGAGACATCCGCTCCTGGCATGGCCGGTAAGAACAGGTTGGGACCCTTGGAAAAAAAAGAAAAGAAAAAAATAACAGAAAACAAGCAAAACAGAAAGAAAAGGGGTTCCAACCATCTTCAAGAAGAAAAAAAAAAGAGCACCTTGAAAAATGTGAGTCCATGATCTTTTGTTTTTGAGAATCTCTTCATCCACAATTCATTTGTCCTCTGTTCACTATTTGCCATGATGCCGACTCGATACTAGTGCTCTCGCCGAAGAAGCTATGAGATGACTTGTGCGTTGGTTGACCTCGTAAGTTGGTAAATGATCTAGGAAGTCCTCTACCTACGATCTTGGTTGTTTGTTGCTATAGAGGTCTGGAGAGCTACATTGGTTTGAGTTAGGTTTGATTGGGGACAAGCAAACGGTTAAGTGTGGGGGAGTTTGATAGACCGTTAATTACACATGTTTTTACCCCTGTTCTTACACCGTTTGAGATGTGGTTTCTCGTGTTTTAGACCGATTTCACGCTAGGTTGTGCTTGTTTGTGATATTTCAGGTCCTGGTAAGTGAATGAAGGTTTAGGAGCGAGCTCGGGGTCGATTGGGTGAAGATCGGGCGCGAGGCAAGTCACAAAGGAGGCCACACGGGCACACCCACAAATCACACGGCCGTGCAACTCATATTTCTGGTCGTGTGAGATTGTGCGAGAGCAAACACGGCCTGCCCTGACAACACACACGGCCGTGTGAAGGAGTGGCTTGGCCGTGCGAGTTTTGCCGAGAGCAAACACGGGCAGATGGAAGTCACACACGGCCGTGCCACTCTGGCCGTGTGAGAAGCCTGGAATTCGACTAAGTGAGACGGTGCGTTTTGCCTCACACGGGCAACTGGGTAGGCCACACGGCCGTGTGGCCCTGCCCGTGTGAGTCGGGATTTCCTGGTTTTAAGCCAAATTCCGAACCAAAGAGGAGGAGAGCTGGGTTTTTGGATCCCAAACACCCAAGGGACGAACCAAAGAGAGAGAGGGCGATTTGAGGGCATTCTTGGAGTAGAGAAGGAGGATTTCTTCGCCTTGGAAGCTTGAGGAACAAGCCCGGACTTGAAGACTGATCATCTGAAGATTCTTACTGCAGTCTCTCTCTTCTCTATGGAGTAACTTCCCTTCACTTAGGTTTTGAGGAACCCTAGCTATGTTTGTTTGATTGGATGATTGTATGAGTACTCTGACTTGATAATCTTGAGTTCATATTCAATCTATGCATGTTTTCATGATTCAATTCTGCTTTAGTCGAGATTATTGATTCTGCTTTGATCCTATGAGAGGGAATACCTGATTAGGTCAATAGAGCACCATAGATTGATAGTAGTGGATCGATTGCTTTAGTCAAGGGTTGATTCACTGCTTTGTATCGATTGAGAACCTCTTTCGATAGAGGGAGTCTAGTTCAGAACGCCTTGATCAGTTGTTCTAGAGAAGGATACGTCCCTCTAGGCAATTGACTCAAGAGGGCCTTGTTCCTTTAGTCGAGACTCAAGGTCTAGTCAAGGATTCTCCGCATTGTGAATGAAAGTGAAACAGGTTAGAGATCATCAATCATTAATCTGGCTAGTGGCTAGGGGGAATCATACCTAAGTGAGTTCCCAACCTGTAATTAGATTAACTTTAACTGTAGTTTGCTAGAGTAGTTTTAGTTCTTTCATCTTAATCTGATTTGCTAAATAATAAACTGAAGCTGAGTAATAGTAACTCTAGAGACCCGTGGATTCGATATTTATCACTTGAGCCACTATACTGCAGTCCCTTTCATTGGTTACACTTGGCCTTTGTTAGGTGTTGTGTTTTAGAGCATCAGTCAACTACAATCCACCTGCACTCAACCAATCTTTTGCATGTCACCATTTTTACAACTAACACCCACCAGTAGAAACCACCCATATAAAAATGAGTGGACCGATTGCAAATGAATTTGGATGGATTTATGGGTAAACCACCCAATACTCGCCGCTAACCACAACAATGAATGAGATCCACATTGGTATTAAAAAAAAGCCCCAAACGAGTCATTCCAGTACTTCACCTCTAGAATTCATGTTTGCAACACAATCCCTACATTTTTAAAAATGTGAAAACATAAACATGAGTCTACCTTTTTTAATTTGTAACGTTACTTTGTGTGTAAACTTGCAAACGTTTATTCCGAGGGCTTTTTCCTAAAATACAACAGTAATTAAAAAGAATTCCTAAATTACACATATTTTAAAAAAATTCTCAGAATACCAAAGTTTAGAGAAGTTTGAGTTTACAAAACTCGATCTATAACCTAGATCATCCTACCAAACTCGAACAACAGAAAGGCAGAAGTCGACCGAGTGCAATAAACTCGATCAACTACTGATCGAGTATATAAAACTCGATCTGGCTGGAACGCTGGTGCAAAAATCAATATACAACATGATCGAGTTGGGAAAACTCGATCTAGTGAGATCGGGGATCTAGGACTCGATCCGGATAAATTATTGGCCGACGATTATAGGTGTCACATGATCGAGTCTTCTAGACTTGATCAAGGAAGGTTCGCTGGTATTGGACTCGAACCAGTTTTCAATAATTGACATGGGCTAGATAATAGAACAACTCGAACATAGTTGACATGAACTAGATAATAGAACAACTCGAACATACAGACAAACTTTAGAAAAATCATAACAACTAGATAATAGAAGCACACTAAAAATCACTCCGCTCACTCTTGTGCACCACGTCCGCGTCCCTCTCTTCGAGTTCTATTCCTTGCACGAACTCCATGTCCAATTGGAGTATGTCGAGGCAGTGGAGGTGGGGTTGCAATGGTTGGAGGAGAATAGTTGACATGGACCATCGGAGACTGGAAGCTTTGCTGCGGGAATTGGAATTGAGGGTCGATATTGGGATACCCATAATATGGGGCAGCATAGTTGTCTCCTCCTCCCCCGTGTTGAGCCAAACTTGATGATCCATCTCCGAATTCCCTTCTGACGGGTGGAATCCAAACTCGTATGGGTCAAAAAGTGTCATATCTTTTCGTACTTGTACAGGGACTCTAACTGGCTCTTTCCGACGTTTACTCCTCCTTGGTGGCGATGGCGGGAGGGATTCAACTTCAATGGCATGTGAGGAAGGACGTGGAGATGCAGGTTCAGGTGGATATGCAATGACGTCCCTTCGAATTTCCCGCGAACATGACAAGAGATTCTTGAAGAAATTCTTCAAGAATGAAACTTTTTGGTTTTGGTTCACTCTTCATAGTCATTGACGCAAGTTCCAACCCATCAACCTAGTTAATAAACACGTTAGTCAAATACTCTTTGTGTAGCTAAAGTAAATAAGGGAAAAATATATGCATGCTTACTAGTGAACCCATCACAGCACCAAGTTTGGTTACTCATCTTTTTGTGAACTTGCGTTACCAAACCATGTATTTATCTCGGTACCCTATTGTCCTCGTCATTGGGATGCCATCAATTGCAAACGTATGATGAGACTCCCACATACTAATCCATCTATGGTACTTGGTAGGCCAATCACTCACTGTACCCCGCATATCTTTGTTGTATTTGTGGAGTGACTTATGTACGTCCCGTGGTGGGAGAGGAATCGGTTGCGCCCAATTATATTGCCGGACACATCTATCCGGGAGGTGCCACTCTACAATGTTGTGACAAATCACAGGCAACTTGCACGACTATAGTGGACGATCCTCAAGGTATCGTAACTCTTAGATCTCCTTTGATCCGTTCGGATACGGATCTCACTCCACCTACGTTTGAACAAATAAATTAAGGTCCATTCATATTCATAAAAATAAAGTAAAGACCAATACAAATAATTTAAACAAATAAAATGAAATTAATATTCATAAAAATAAATTAAAGGCCACTACAAATAATTTAAACAAATAAAATAGCATTCATATTCATAAAAATAAATTGAAGGCCAATAAAAATAATTTAAACAAATAAAATAGCATTCATAAACTAAAATGTTACCTCGTTGAACTCTATACTGTCAAGATGTTGGCGATACTAGGCTAGAGTGGACAGTCTTGTGATAGCTCCAATCCATCTAGCACCATAAGCCGCTTGTCGTAGTGGCTCTTCGGGAACCTAACTGTCGGCATGGCAAATCAGAGCGAAAGTAGGAAGTTGCTCCCAAACCAATAGTTGGAATTGGGTTGTATTTATAGGTTCTGGTGGTGGTAACCGATCGAGTGAAGAAAACTCAAACCAGTGGATCGAGTTTGCTGCAATCGATCCGCGTCTAGGCAATTCGCGGCAGGGCAAATCGAACGGATCGGATTGAGTCCAGGACAGTTGATCTACGGTGGATCGCATCCCAAGTCATCGATTCGTGCCTAGGGGTGTTCAAATGGTTCTCATGGTAATTACCAAACCAAACAAGCTAAAATTCTATTAAACATGGAATACAATATCATAACCAAACCGTCCAAACTAATACAGCAACCAAATTAACCAAACTAAATTTAAATCGATTTGGTTAATTGGTTAACCAGATTAACCAATATAACATCACATTATCATTAAGTGACAAAATTTTGGTTAATGCATCAATTCACCATTTATACGATGAATAAAATATTACAATGAACACATAGTTATAGTCAACCCTTACAAAAATACATGCAACTAATACATAGTTATAGTTGTGAAGTATTAAGTATGTGTATATAATATATATATATATATTAGATATATGGATAATTACTTAACTGTTTAATTTGGTTTGATTGGTTAGGAGTCTATGAAACTAAACCAAACCATCTAAACCAAATAAGCTAAATTTTTTAACCAAACCAAATCAATTATCCAAATTAACCAAATACTACCGGTTAAAACAGTTATCACGGTAATCAAACCGTTTGAACACCACTATTCGTGTCAACCAGATCGAGTCCCAAGGCGTCGATCTACTTTAATTGAGTTTTTAACACTCGATCAGCGTCGTCATCAGTTTGCGACAAAGGTAATCGAATGGCGTGGATCGGTTTTTAACCTCGCGATCGAGGGTGGAGCGAGTCCTACGTCAGCGATCCACGTATGTGGATCGAGTCCCATAGCCTCAATGCAAGTCGATCGAGTTTTTAACACTCGATCCGCCTCATCGGGTCTCAGCCAATCGTGGCACGTACACTTGATGCACATGGATCAATGATCTGACAACCGATCTGCTTGTAGTTCGAGTTTAATAAACTCGATTTGCGCCAAACTTTGACATTTTGGGAAAATTTTATAAAAATTGTGTATTGTAGGAATTTTTTTAAATTTTCACTGTATTTAGGAAAAAATCCTTTATTCCGAATATTGTTGGAAATGCTTAAATAAGTTTACAATATTGATCATAAAGATTGAAAGTAAATAGATTTACCCAACGTACCATAAAATTACAGGACATAAAAAAAACGAAATTAAATATGATTAGAGTCAGAAAAAATAAATTACAATCAAATTAATTGCATTGTAGCCTTGTGACGACCATATGCATATTGTTACTAGTCAAAGTCAGTCCATATACGAGCAAGCCCAGTTAGACATACACATCCATCTCAACAGTCTATTAATTTAAGGCCCCTCCGGCCGACGAGTTGGCACTGTTACTCCGGCTTGCGCCGCCGCCGCCGCCGCCGCCGTTATTATGATCATCATCAGCGACCAACCCTACAAGGAAGTCAAAAACCTCGGTGGCGGCCACAGCAGAGGCCACGTCCTCCCTGTGCAGCGTCCTCCTCTTGCCCTGTACGGCGACGTTCCATGAGCGGCGAGCTAGCTCTTCGATGAAGAGCTCGCAGGCCTTGGCGAACACGATGGGCGCCTCTCCGGAGATCATCTTGACGTCGTCTCCGGATCTCTTCATGATCTTCTTTATCCTCGCCAAGGGCAGCGAGTGCGGCTCCTTTCTCCCGCTCGACAGGATCCCCGAGTAAATCCCCGGCTGCCTCATGATATGATTGGTTGATGGATGGATTTGTGAATCGAGACGGAGTAATGGTAATGAATATAAAGGATTTGGAGGTGAAGTTTGAGGGCTGCAGAATATCCATGGAGGTTGGGGCCGGCCGAGAGCCTGCTCAATCATGAAGCGGCCGGCTGGGATTGTATTTTTAAATGAGGGTGGGAAAAAGTGACGGGAAATAATTTACGATTGAATATTGAAAAAAGTGAAGTCAACAGATTTTTTATTGTTCTGTTATGAATGGCCAAATTTGATGTATATATGATCGGTTATTTGGAATGGAGTTGGATGATTTTGTAAAGAGTAATGATCAACCGAAACCTTTTTATAAACTTTTGAGCTGGTTTCTTGGGTGACAAGGCTCAACTAGCTAGTTTGATGGTGGTAATTAATCTTCATCCTACCACCCAACCCAAATCCGAGATCGATCAAACCGACAAGGTTTTGAAATTTATGACTAAACTTAGGTCTGTATATACTATATAGTTATTGGCGCAGTTAAAAATAATATAGTTTAGTGGGATTCAAAAATAATCTATTGTTTCACCAAAAAAAAAAATCTATTGCAATGTGTGTCTTAAAGTTAATGGTAAAACTAGTACGTGCGGTCTCGGGCAGAGGGCGTCTATCTACCTTGAAAATTCATAATCCGTACACTACAAGAAAAAGGTCCTTTAGTCATGAGAAATCCGGTGTTTAAAAGCATGTTTCCTGTGACTAATAATTTTAGTCACGGGAAAATTACCGTAATATAAAGCTCTGTGACTAATTGTGTACGGTGACTAGTAATAAGTACCCCTTCATCTAGCTCAGTGACGTAATACATATTCATTTTCCAAATGAGGTCTATGAATCTCGAATCCCTTCATCTAGCTCGGCCAATGTCTTGTAATAAAGTTATATAAGATCCATAATTAATTTTTTTTTTCAAAAATTCTAATTATTGAAACCAACTGGTTTATAATATGATATAAAAATTGGTTTAACCAAGTAGTCGCGTGTTTGAATCTCCACGACCCCAATATTAAACGTAGATTGATTGATGAAAGAGATATAATCCCACCAATTATAGTACAAGTAGAAGGCGTCGCCGTGAAAGCGTTGCTAGTAATCGAGCCAACAACAATCTATCTGCTGACCAAAACAATTCCTATTATAATAAACTGTACTGTTGGGATTTTTTAATGGTGTGAATGGAAATGAAAGGGGAAAGAATCAAGAGAATCTCTTGAAGTATCATGTTGGTAAGATGTGGGAAGACATGGCTCGAATTCGATCGATTTGATGTAATATGTGATTAATTGGTTAAATTGGTTTGTGTAATCAAATTGATCAAACCAAACTGAGTTGAACCAAATCGAACCAGCGGTTGGAGTGAACCAACCGGTTCAACTACCATGGGCGGAACCGATGCAATGGTTCATTATTTACAAACGAACTATTGTGTTGGTTGGGGTGTAACCACCCATATGAAGAGTTGCCTCCCTTCATACGCACCCCTTCATTTTCTATAAATAGCACCATAGCCCCTATAGTTTTGACTACAAGAAACATATGTTTTTCGCATACCAAAACCCTGCCAAAATCTAAAGTGATTTTTCTACATTGTTTTTCGAAAAGAAAATGAGTCAAGTGTGATTCTCACCGATTCACTGCGTTCGATGGTTTTCGGGGTTTGAGGTACTGCTACGTCGTAAAAGGTACGTCCTTTCTGTCCTTTCTATCCCGAGAGGAATCATTCTATAACCTTGGGTACTAGAGAGGAATAAGATTCTTAAGAAGAGAAAGTGAATTCTGTCGGCTAGAACACTTGCATATGTATTTGCATGATTTCGTGATCTTATATGTTTCCTATATTGATTACATGATCTTATTTGTTACTTGTTCTAAAAAAAATAGTATACGTGAACAATTTCCACAACATGGACAATTACCCAGCAGCATGATACGTACGTGGCAGTCTGAACAGGCCATGCATTCGTTGTAGCTTCTCATTGGAGTACCGTCTTTGAATTTCTTGGCCTTTTTCTATTCACTCGGGAAGGTCAGGACAAATAACCACTTTTCATATGATAGCTCCACAATCATTAACCTTACTAGCTACGACTAATTTTCTAATTCTTCTGAATAATCTTGTTCTTTTTGTAATTAGATTAAGGGTTAGCTAGCTAGCTTTTTGGCCAAAGCTAGAAAGCAACCATTCAATGCGCCGAATGCTGGAAATTTAATTTATCTGCTATGGTAAAGGACATTTGCGTAAGTTACTATTGAAGTTGCTTTCATCTATTTATTAATGCTTTTTTCATTATTATTAAAACACGGTTTTGTTGAGATTTGGTCTTAAGATAATTTATTGCGCTAAGCACCCCTTCAGTGATGCTTACGTTAAACATTAACAAAAAAGAAAAAAAAAGAGCCAATTTCTCTTCTTTATAATATAAAAAAATGAGTATTGGTATTTGAAGATTTGTTGGACAGACTGATCGACAATATTTCACAACATGTGAAAAGGATTTGTGCAGAATTATTCGTGTTCGATGTGATTTAAGGGAGGAAGAAACATAAGCAAGACAATCAAAGGCGTTGTTTGTGTATGCCATTTGTGGTTTCTAGGCTTATTAGCAAAAAGAAAAGGGATCATCCTAATTATTCAACTGGTGTAATTATAAAGAATCAAAGAGGATTGGTTTTTATTCAACAAATGTCATGAGACTAGCCACCTCGATTCTAGCTCCTCACTGATCAGTTCTCAACTCGTCATGGCTCCACGAGCTACTTGCCTAGGAATGGCAAAAATATCCGTAACCGTAGATATCCACCCGAATCCGACCTAATCGGGTAGGATAAAATCCGAACCCGAAGTATTTTTCGTGGGTACGGGTAAAACCCGAACCTGAATATTGCGGGTAATGTGTGGACATGGTTAGCTCACTATCCAACCCGAACCCGCCCGATTATACACATGCATATGTATTTTGTCTAGAAATAATCATTATGTTTCTCTAGAATATTTTATATTTAGCATATAAATATAATATTTTCATGAAATTATGTTGTTTTAATTAATTTCCGTCATTCTAGTGAATTATTGTCGTACTTTTCCTCTTACGTAATGTGAGTATACGTGTGAATGTTAACATATTGGTTGGAATTATAAGGAGAAATTATTACTCATGGATAACCGTGGATACCCGAAACCCGAACGGGTATGGGCATGGTTTTGATTTTCTACTCGTTTCTCGTGTGGGTACGGGTATGGGTAAACCCGAACTACATTGAGTAGGGTAATGGATATGCACTATCCGCCCCCGACCCATTGCCATCCCTAATTGCGAAGTGACAATTTCCTATATTTACCGTGAGGGGAATAAATGTGTCGATTTTCTGGCTAATGAATGTCATCGGTTATCTTTAGATTTCATTAATTTTTCAGTTTCACATCTTGTCCTTTTATCGGTGAATTTTATGTGACTGTTAGTGCAGTGGCGGACCCAAAAAATTTTTATAGGGGTGTCCTCTTTTAAAAAATAAATTAAATAAAAATAATTAATAAAAATAAAATTGTAAATATGAAATACCTTACTCGTACAGGTTAAAAAAGTCCATGATGTGTTTTCATATTCGGAAATATTTGAGCCTAGAATGTACTAGGCGGTTATGGGGCTCCGATCTGGACTCCCTCGTCTGATCTCCTCGGGAGTGGAAGAGATAAAGTAGAGAGAGACCTTAGGGGAAAGTGAGGAAGGGAGAAGAGAAGATCCTTAGTTTGGAGGGTTAGGCCTCCTTATATAGGGTGCGGGCTTCCTTGAGTGGGCTTGGGCCCAGGATGCCTTACGGTGGGCTTAGGCCCGATTTGCAGGCCGATTCGCAGACTGGTCTAGTGGTAGGCGGGCCGGTGGGCTGGACGGAAGCGGACCGCATGAAGAAGGCGGTTCGAGTGCGGGCCGAGCGCGCGCGGTTAAATACTGACTGTTGCGTCCTTCATTAACAAGCTGGCATATAGTCTACTGGTTGAAGCGCTTGCAGGCAAATGCGAGGTCATTGGTTCGAGGGTTGACGAAGGCTTCTCCTTCATTCTTTTTTAATGAGGCGTGGGCCGCTGAATCTTGGGCCGTGCTTGGCGATGTGGACCGCAGGAGATTGGAGGTGGGCCGCATTGGGCCTGCTATTTGATGGAGCGGGCCGGTTCGCAGGCCGATTCGCAGACTGGTCTAGTGGTAGGCGGGCCGGTGGGCTGGACGAAAGCGGACCGCATGAAGAAGGCCTGAATCCGTGAACGGTTGTCTTGTTTGGCGTGGGCCGCTGAAGCTTGGGCCGTGCTTGGCGGACCAGCCTGAATCCGTGAACAGTTGGCGTGTTTGGTGGGCTCATCGAGGTAGGACGAGGTGGTTTTTGCTTTCTGCGGAAATGGGCTGAAGAAGGTGGGTCGGATCTCATGCGGTTTGGAGTGGAGTGGGCCAGTTGTTAGTCGGACCGCGTTGTTGTGGAGGGTTCGGTCACGAAGCAGGCCTCAACGGGCTGCTGATGAGGTCTAGTGGTAGGCGGGCCGGTGGGCTGGACGAAAGCGGACCGCATGAAGAAGGCCTGAATCCGTGAACAGTTGTCGTGTTTGGCGTGGGCCACTGAAGCTTGGGCCGTGCTTGGCGGACCAGCCTGAATTCGTGAACAGTTGGCGTGTTTGGTGGGCTCATCGAGGTAGGACGAGGTGGTTTTTGCTTTCTGCGGAAATGGGCTGAAGAAGGTGGGTCGGATCTCATGCGGTTTGGAGTGGAGTGGGCCAGTTGTTAGTCGGACCGCGTTGTTGTGGAGGGTTCGGTCACGAAGCAGGCCTCAACGGGCTGCTGATGATGAAGTGGGGGCGGTTCCATCATGGAGAAAGTTGGACGAAAGTGTTGATGACCTAGAAAGATAATTATACATTGACCGCGTTGTAATTATCAATAACATGCTGCTGTGGTCGGCTGGTTGGCAGTGCTCCTTGTCAAAGTTTGGTCGGTTGTTCGAATGTTGGTCGAAGCGGTGATCTTCTTTTTTACTGAACGCGTCTCTTGTCTTCCTTTGGGCAGTCTAGGTGTGGAGAGGAAAGGCATGGGCCGCGGAAGCTTGATGGATGCAGAGCGGATTGGGGTTTGGAGGCGGCCCGCTCCCCAATGGGCCGGTGGGAAGGTAATAAATAGGGGTCGCTGCGATATTGAAGCACGAAAATACCTTCTGGTCTGTTGGTTGTGCGTCCTGATTTCGAGAAAGAGGTCTGTGGTTCGAAGCTTGGCGGAGGCCGTTTCTTAATTCTTTTTTAATGAGGCTTGGGCCTTGATGGCTAAGGGCGTGGGCCGCTTAATCTGGTGTGAAAATTGAGAGCGTCTTTGTGGGCCGAAATGCAATGGAACTGGTGAGCGGGGTTGGAGCCGCAATAGGCCAACTGAAGCTGGGCCAAGTGGGATGTTGGGGCGGTCCAGGCTTGGGCCTTGATGGCTAAGGGCGTGGGCCGCTTAATCTGGTGTGAAAATTGAGAGCGTCTTTGTGGGCCGAAATGTAATGGAGCTGGTGAGCGGGGTTGGAGCCGCAATAGGCCAACTGAAGCTGGGCCAAGTGAATGTTGGGGCGGTCCAGTTGCAAGGCGATCGACTTTGAATACGAGCCGGAGATATGCTGGGCCGTCGGAGGTGGACTTTGTTAACTAAAAGCGGACTTTGAAGACGGGAGGCGAGTTTGAACGTGATCAGTATGGGTTGCTGCGCCTTTTAGCGCAACATATGTTTCTGGCCTACTGGTTGGAGCTTGCTTTCGAGAGTTGTGGGTCGCTGTTTCGATTCCCTTGGAAGGCGTATGCATTTTCTTTTATGATGAAGATGCGGGCGTGATGGGTCGAGGATGGACACCGGACCGCGAACTTGTTGGAGGTGGGCTCGAAGGTGAAATGGTGAGCTGTCGGTGGAAGCGGACCGCGCAATACGAGCCACTGTTGAGAGTCCGTGCTGTCTGATTGAGTAGCCGGGCCAAATTTGGTGGAAACAGTGAAGTGGGCCCAATGCCTGGTGGAGGGCGGTAAGGTAACGGAGCTCCGGTCGCTGGTTGCGCCTCCGACTAGCAAGGTCCCCTGAACCTGACGTTTTTTCCTCATTTTCTTCAGCTGTTGTTCGTCTTCTGAGCAGCTAGCTACTGTGGCTTGTCTTGGAGGGGAAAGAATAGATTTCTTCCAAAGATCCCAGCTTCGAGTAGCAATGTGACTGATCGAGAGGTTGGATTGGTCGGCTTAGTTGTTTTACTTTTCTTCTTTTGCTCCGGCCGCTTTCGTCCGTTTAGATAGTTGTTGCGGCTGCTTGTAATTGATGGAGGAGCTGATTTCTTCCCCTCTTTCAGAAATCAAACAGAAAGAGTACCAGAATCTTTGCCCCACGGTGGGCGCCAAATTGTTTGAGCCTAGAATGTACTAGGCGGTTATGGGGCTCCGATCTGGACTCCCTCGTCTGATCTCCTCGGAAGTGGAAGAACCTGTGAAGCGGGGGGCGGCCCCCGTGATACGCTCCGACGCCCAAGTTAGTACGATATAGGAGAGTGTATGGATGTAGAGAGATAAAGTAGAGAGAGACCTTAGGGGAAAGTGAGGAAGGGAGAAGAGAAGATCCTTAGTTTGGAGGGTTAGGCCTCCTTATATAGGGTGCGGGCTTCCTTGAGTGGGCTTGGGCCCAGGACACCTTGCGGTGGCCTTAGGCCCGTTTATAGTCGTGTAGGCATATTAATCCATATCCCAACAGGAAATAATTGTAGAATACACTTGGTGTCTATAGTGTTTAAATTTTTTCCCCCTCTATATACACTACTAGACAATCATTCACGAACTTATCGCATATTCAATTTGTAAACTTGTTCTTGATGTAACCCAAAGCTTAAAGACTCTTTCAACATTTGCCGTACAATCATAAAATCAATACAAATTAAGGGTAGTTCGAAATTAGTTTAATTTTTAGGTTTTTTAAATAATTATAGATAGGAAATGCCATTTTACTATTACATATTGATCAAAATCGAACAACAAATGAGTTTAGCTCAACGGAAATTAAGTTTATTAATAATAATAGTGTTCTATATTTAAATTATCCAACCTACCACTTATATTCCTATACACAAATGACAGTAGGATAATCATTTTTTCAAATTTAAGGGTTGTCCGTCACTATCAATTATATTTTTTTTTATCCATACGTAAATTACCATCGGGGATTGGATAATGGTTTTCCCAAAATTTAGGAGTGTCCGGGGACATCCCTAAACCCGGCTCAAGATAGGGTGCATAACCATGGGTTATGCATCCATCAATAACCAAATCTGGACCCTTCATTTAAAAAATCCAGATCTAAAGATGGAAAATTAAGGACCATTTTTATGTTTCCTAACTTTCTTAATCGGCTCATATCTTTATCGTTTTAACTCGTATTTTAATTTTTTTTGCACAGATGGAACGAGTTCATCGTGCTCTACCAAATGAGAACAAATTTCAATATTATTTTAGAAAAAAAAAATTATGGCCTCTCGGTACCAACTGCATACCATATGGTATCTTCTTCGTTTTTAATTTGTTTTTGAAAAAGTTTGCACAGAAGGGACGAGTTCATCATGATCTATTGGATCTACAAATTCCTAGGTAAACAAATTACAGGACCAAAAAATACCACACAATACCATACAATACCACCCTGGTACGGGGTGGTATTGTATGGTATCTTCTTCATTTTTAATTCGTTTTTGAAAACGTTTGCACAGAAGGGACGAGTTCATCATGATCTATTGGATCTACAAATTTCTGGGTGAACAAATTACAGGACCAAAAAATACCACACAATACCATACAATAACACCCTGGTACAGGGTGGTATTGTGTGGTATACAATGTTAAAAGTCGTAAATGACAATTAATATACTTCTACTATCATGTATTCAACCATCCTATAGTCTTGGTTTGTTCATACCACCATGGTACGTTTTTCAAACCATAAGTATGTTTTTATTTCAATACCAGTCAATACCATATGGTATAGACTGGTAAAAAATGGCTCAATTTTTTTTGTTCGAAAAATATATTAAAGTGGATATCATTTTGAAGAGCACAATTAATCTGATCTAACTGTGCAAAAAAATTAAATTCAACTTAAAATGAGTGAGAAATCGTCCGTCAAAGATTAAAGAGGGGAAAATTAAAGACTTTCTAGGAGAGAGAGGATGCTGATGTCATGCTGATGTGGGCTGGTTACTCATGGTTACTCACCATAAGGTTACTGACCTGATCCGTTCCCACTAAACCCCCTGGGTCCGCCCCGTGTTAGTGAATCTCCAAACCGGATTGATTTTGAGCGGAGATTGAAATGCCCTACATCCTCCATTAATATATGGTAGAGTTTTGTGTACTTTTCTCCATTTCAAATTTCCTGCAATGAGAGTGAAAGTAGGAAGGTCATTTTTGTCTTTACACATTTATTATTTATTTCATATAAAAATAGCAATATCAAGATTTGAACCCGGGTCTCTTCAAACAAAGATAACAATTACAACCAGTTACACTAAACAAATTTATAGTATCCTTTTTGATACAAAACATAGACAAAGTTAATCTCTGAAAATCAGAGGACTTTTTCATCATAATTAGCAAGCTCACTAAGTCTACCGTATGTATTTTTATCGAGCTTGATACTTCTATTTTTATAGTAGAGTTTCATGTAATTTTCTCAATTTTAAATTCCCGCTCTCTCCTTAATTTTTGCTAAAGGTAAATGGGTAATTGGCTAACATGGAAGAAACTAATTATGTAACTACGTGTTGTATCCTTGTATTTTTCAATTTAAATTTAAATTTTGTGATTTTTTATCTTTGTTCTTTTCTCTTTCTAACTTCCTCTGAAATTTCATCATTCGTGCAATATTTTGCGCCTTTCACTTCCCAGTACAAGACTGTCATTGAAAATCAATCTTCAGGTATCTCTTGGCACTACGGTTTTATTGTTGGGGATTTTAAGTTGGTCGAGTAGAAGATTTCAACTCCGATATCAATCCTTGGTGAATAGAATGGAGTTCATCAATAACTAGAGTTGTAGAAGGAGGATTAGAAATTGAATTTTTGGTTGAATATATGCCTCTTGAGATAGAAATTTGGTTGTACAACGGAGAGTGGTGGCTATTGGATCTTTAGGTTTATGGTTTTTACAATTGTCACAACCTATTTCTATCTTAAAACGAGGAATCATTGATTGATTGTTTGAAATAGCTCGCTTTTTTATTCAACCTATTGGAACTAATAGATAAGGAGTGTCTAATTTTGCGCCTTATCACTTTGATCGAGTCTATTCGTATATTGGAGATAACCCTGATTTTTTTCGTTTGCTCACAAGTTGTGATGGTCCCCTCTTAGCTGAGTTTTTAGTATATAGATGACTTGAATCAACAACTCTCCATTTCTTTTTGATTTGTGACATATTGTTTCTAAAAGCAGAGCATTGAACCCTTTATATAGGATTGTGAGGTTTAAGATTTAGTTTCAAACTATCTATGGGTCGTGTGAGAATTTCAGTGAGCTTTTATACTCTATATTTCTTGACTGTAAAATAAAACTAACCAATAGCATTTTAACAGGGACTTAATTAGCATTATGAAAATGGGGTCAATGATACATTTTTCTATTTTATATTCTTAAATGATTATGATATTTCTCCGAATGTTCGACCTATATATTATTTCTTTATGTATCATCTCGATCGAATGAATATCAATAAGATTAAACGGGTTAATAGACTTAAAAGTAACAAAAAATACAAATAAAGAACTCTAGCCAATTATTAGCAACTTCAACCAATATTGAGGCTCGTCCTCAGTAATGTGGCCCGGCTAGAATAGTTGATCCAACAAGAGCAGCTACTGTACGTAGGCCCAACAAGACCAATGACTTCTTTGTTCCTTTCAGCCAACAATGGTGTTATCTTCGCAGCCCACAAACGGCGGCCCTGTCAAGTTCTTTCCTCTGAACATAAGGCCCAATCAAAACGAAGCAGTTTATCTCAAAATGGGCCCGAGAGACTAGCTAGGAGAGCAGCTGAACTGAAGAGGGCATCGTGATTTGGGGAGCAGCCCTGTCCTGTACTTTAGGGCACTCCCAGCGATGAGGATTTTGTAGTAAACCAATTTCCACCTCACTGGGAACAGGGACGTGTGTGGTGCGGGAGAGAAAAAAGAGATTACTCAATTACTTTGATCATCATGTGACATTATGGCCTTTAATCTTTTCCAGGCCAGCCGGAGTCGTCTTTTGCACGTGACCAGGCTGTATGTTATTTTACCGATTTCCTCACCTTTTATTTCATCTTTATTTATTTATTGCCTTAGCCACAAGAATCAGGACCTCAAAATCTTTGCATCTCTTCTTGTCTCCACGCTCTCCCTCCCTTTGCCTTTGTCTTTTTAAGTTTCTGTTATGCTTTAATTGACCTTGACTTCGTTCTTCCATATCTCAGTTGCCATCGATTGAGGAGGAAACGTATGTTTCAGGTTAGCTTGCCTGCTGCGGGAAAGATACAGGCAGAGATGGAGCCCGGAAAAGAAACAAAGAGACTTATATAAGCTAACTCCTGATCGATCACAGTTTAGACTCAAATTTCAACCTTTAAGTAATCACAAATTATAACAAAGTTATAATCTTCTTGGATGCATTCTTTATTTTCGCAGGAAGTTGGATTCTCTACGATGCATATGTTGGACATGTTGACAATCTAGTTTTCATATTGATACTACAATTAAATAAAGGCCAAATTCACTTGCATAGCCAAAACTTTGACGTTTGTGACAAATATAGCCACTTTTGGAGAAATACAAAAATAGTCAGAATTTTGAAAGTTCGATGACAAATATAGCCATTTCCGTTACATAGTTTGACGGCGTCAATAACACCGTTAGTCAAATTATCCCAACGCTTACCTGGCTGCCAACTCACTGGACACATCATTGACAACTCAACAATACTTGCCATGTCATATAACAATACTTGCCATGTCATTTTTTAATTTAAAAATAAATAAAAAATGACAAAAAAAAGTTTCATCCTCTCTCCTCTCCCACCACTCGCCGTCGAAGAACTCTTTCC